AAAACCGTGTGCAGTCAAAGGAGCCATTTCGCCTTGCTTTTGGGCCTCTCGTTAATTATATATCTGTGGATTTGGAAGGGTGGGGAAAAGTGAAAGGAATGCGAACTGTTTTAAGAGAGCGACGAACTCGAGCAATGAGGAAACTGGAAGTGAAAGATGGGGATGAGCCACCTCGAAGCAACGAGCGAACTCCTGGGGAACTACCGCTTCATATAATCAATTAGAACTCTAGAATGAGTGAGATGGTAATGGAGTTGAGCTAAGTATAAACTGGAGCAAACTGGCGTTGATTCGAACGAACGGATCAACCCCGTCTCTTCCATCTAGCATCGGTTCCTTTAGCGTGTCTGTTCCCGGTGCAACCAGAGATCTAAAATATATTATGGATTCATTAAAACATTCTATACCATAATTATATAATAATTAAATACAATGTGATAATTTAATGTTTGTGATTTTTCGATGACTCATGAAGCTATATGTTTAAGTTATAATGCTAAGAAATTATAAAGTGACGAAGAACTGAGCACTGATAGATAACAGTGTACAATTATAGAAGATCGGTTAGAAATTGTCACCTTATACCGCTTACAATTGAAGCAATCAAGAAAGAACACAATATATCTTTAATTTTCATACGAAAATCGTTAGTTACAATTAGTTTGTAATATCACCAACAATATTACTTTTAAAAAACTAGTCGTATGTATTAATCTCGATTAAAAGTTGTTGTTCCGTGTTGTCAAGCAATATGTACAACTTCGCAGTTGTAAAATCCTGTTTAGATTAATATCTAAATGCTCGATCGTAAGTAGTCTCGAAGGTACATTAGAACATATTGATCATGTCCAAAAATAGGTTAAGTCTGAACCTTAAAATTTAACAAAGCTTTAAGAGAAAACTTGCGAAGTTACTCAGGGTAACTATTCATAGAACAGAATTGTGAAGAGACTTTATTCATAGAATATGAGTCTCTTCACAACCTCACATGCATGGGTATACTATATGTAATTATTTATATACAGGTATATGTTCTATTTTAATGTATAAATGCAATCATTTCCAGCACTATTCGTTATTTAAAAAATGTCTGAAATGTAATGTTCTCTATTTTGAAGAAGCTATAATTTGGTATATCTACAATTAATTTCTCTAAGTAGACGTAAGTAGGAGATAATGAAAGTCATTGCAATTTTGTCAAATATAATCAAGTAATTCTTTTGCATACAGCAATTCATTCTCCACAGAAAGGTGTTAACCCATCTATGTACATCGAGAACCCATCAAAACAGAAGAAATTACATTTCAGATACTTTTTAAATAACAAATAATTCCGGAAACAATTGTATTTATAGATTGAAATGAAACATTCTGTCTAACTCTCAAACATCTTCCACTTCAGTACGTCCACTTTAAGCCCATCTTTTCATGACACAAAAGAGCTATAGCTACCGACCAGCAGCATAATCGTCGGACGCTGTTTTTTTTCTGAAATTGGTCGTTATCCCTGCCTATAAATTTGAGGGACATTGAAGGCGCGTGAAAGAATCTATCGCGAAGTGGCTAGGGTAATCTCTGTTATCTTAAGTAGACCCTTCGTTTATGGCTCTTTGGTCCTCGAAGAGACCACTTTCGACTCCTTTCTCATCCCCTTGACGTTGACAGAGTATTGTTCCTGAACCGAAATTTTTCCTGGCCTCCTATTCTACTAAGCGGATAGGGTAGATAAGAGGCCGAAAGGATTCCCCAAAATGTCAACTTGCAATTTATCTTAAACGGACATTTCTTACTCCTATCTATTTACGATAAATGTGCCAACGAAAACCCTAGCGTGTAAACTTATGTAATACTTGAACTATGTGGCAGCAAACTTACAAACTATCCATATTCACGACACAATTCAGCATTGTAGTATATTAGTCAATCAATTTATGACTATAAAAATATAGTCTCCAATTCATTTGTTGGTTTCAAATTAATTTATGTTTCCTATTTTTTCCGCAGAATTTTGTATTATTTTTCATTGTTTTCTTATAATTACGAAGCCACTGTGGCAATACGCACATCATTAATGTCTTCGATATCTGATTTTTTACTTCAAAAATAAAATGTTCTCAAAAATTGTGTACCACGTTCCCTCCGCTGACACTGTAGATCTTCATTTTCAAAATATTCGTTTCTGATTGGGTTCACACTCATTGGGTTATGTATTTTCGTCTATGTATTATCGGAGGCATTGATGTATTACGACTTGGTATGGCGAGCGTGATGGAAGTTATATTCATCTATGTCCGTCATTGACGTTATTACGGTTCAAATTTGATATTATCATCGGTAGCTCCATCAGGTTAGCAGCCGAGCATCCTTGAACTATCTACAACAGAATATATAAAATTAGCAGACAGTGTATACTCCGTCCCTTCATTAACAGCGACGTAATTTATTACCGTGCTGGGCAATTAATAATGATGGACATTTAATGCCATCGGGAAACTTCGAAATTTCCCTGATAAACGTTTGTGATTTTTCGAGCAGAGAGAATATTATGCGTATTTATACGCGCTGCATGCATTGTTAATCACTGTGTTACGTGTCAATGAGAAATTAATGTTGCTAAATTAAAAAACAAGACTGGTCGCTTGAACAAAACGAATTTCAAACTCTGTTAAATATTGTTAAATATTATTACTGTTGTTATTATTAGTACTTCTAAAGGGAACTTAATTAAATTAGCTTAAACTCTGGTATAAAAAGTAGCTCTACGTTTTTCTAAGCCAAAATGACAACATAAGCGATTGTTTACTAAAATTTGTACAAACAAATTCTTTACATTAATGAATGCAGATTTGGTGACAATATCTTAAAAATGTAATTCATGACAATGAAAAATACATTTTTACTCGTGGAAGTCAAACAAATAATTTAAAAAATTAGATGGAATGAGCAACTTTAATTATACTGTTTCTTTCATTTTTAACCTTAGATCATTTCCAAGTCAACCGTATATCACACAAAGTACCACAGACAAAATTCACCCCAGCTGTAATGTCCACTGCCGAGCACGGCAACAGAAATGCAAGTAGCTCTAGACGCTATCGCGCTTTAACGTGGAACAGTAGCTCCGTGGGAGCCTGCATAAGCACATGCCAACTCGGTCGTAGATCTTCAGATCCACTTAAAGCGGAGCGACCTTTCTTCGGCCTGGCCAATTGAAACTTCTTCCAACTGATCCCATTTAACGAACCAGTGCCGGAAACTTCTGAATTAAAAGGGGCCTTCAATTTCTCATTACAGCCGCCTGTTCGTATTCTGAGATACGCTGGTTAACTCGTTAGGGGGTCGCAGCCATCATGATGGATGCTGTCCGTAAATTTTCCAGATACATCTGCTGCTATACTTTCAAGACGAAAGGAAAGAGGAATGCTCGGAAACAAGGAACCGGTGGAACTGAGTGGAAGCGGAAAATGGCCCATGCGAATGTCTGATTCGGGACGATTCTCCGGAATCTTGGCACACACGGCTCCCTGGCTAGACGATCCCCGGGAATCTCGGTTATTCAGTCGTGGCGGGCTGTCAATAACTCGGCTGGCCAGTCTAGTCTCTCCACCGGCTCTTTCGATCCGTTTGTTCCTTTGGCTAACGTGCCGGACCGCCTTGTCCGTCATCGCGTGCCCCGTGAAAGAGATCCAGCCCCATTGGCTTTCACAGCCGCTTTTCCGCATCCATCCCCCGCCGCCTCCTCGTTTTACACCGCTAAATCCAATTTCAGTTTACCGCTTCGTACTTCCCTCGAAAGGATCTTCGCTGTAACCCGCCTCTGCCATTGTACCATTTCGACCTTCTTCGCTAGACACAGAGGACGACCGATTGATCCTCTTCCCATCTCCCTTCCGCGATATAATCTCCTACCGTTAATCGGTCCGAACTTCCGGCAGGATGTGTATCTACTCGTTGATATCATCTTCGAACAGGCGAATCGATTTCGGATGGGAAACCGTTTGTAATTTAACTCTTGATGAGACAGACACTCTTGATGAGACTAGACAAGTTTGTGTTCTGAAACGAATGAGTTTCATCCGGTCGTTCGGATAAAGAGGATCTTCTTTGACAAATTCGATTTTTTAGACAGTTTTACGTATGTATGTAGACACTGTAAAAGTTATAGTCATTTCTGGGGCGTTTTATGAGATTTAAGTAATTGTTGAAGTTGTAGAGATTCGATAGACTTGACGTTATTGATATGTGGATAGATAGTATGCGTGTGCAATAATTGTTATTAATGGATCTCTTTGTATCTAATTATCTTTTGATATTTATTACTTTAATAGTTCCTATATTCGAAAATTTATACTTGCTTTTGACAATTTTATATGAGAAAGATTGTGGTTAAAGTGTGGTTTACATTCATATTTTTTTGGATAGTTAAAGTCGAGGAAAGCAATTATATTTATATTCATGCTTTCAATTATGAAAAACTCCGTAGCTGTTAGTTGTTAATGGAATATAGGTGATGTAACAAAAAAAATCTCTTTGTAAGAGCGAAAATACATATGAAAACTTCAAGTATAAGTACATGTCGATTAAATTCTTTAAAAATCGAATTTTGAAGATTACTTCGAAAAGATACATCTAAGCAAAAACGAATACTTAATAACATTATAGTTACATACGTACATTGGAATTTAACCATTTGTACTCGATAGGCAACTCACAGTCGCCACTTAATATCACAAAGCAAGATTATAAAATTCGATATTCAATATTAAATTTGATGTAATGTAGTTATACATGATATATTGTAATAAAGTGGTTCTATCCATTAATTCGTGTATTATTTCCATTTAATACAGTCAAATATTTAATCAATACTCCATTAGAAAATTATGAATAAATTTATGTAGCGAAGAAATTTTCGAGTGGAAGGGATTAATGTTTAATATTTTCTGCGAATAATGAACCTGCCTTCTTAAAATTATTATTATGTTCCATTCTCATTTCAGGTGACTGGCATCGTAGGACGCGCGGACGTGCTCGCCTGTATTTTCTTCCTGTTGTCCTTTCTTGCTTATCATGGGTAAGTGGAATTAAATTTGTGGATGATATTACACTCGATGAAGTGAGATAGTTCTAGTCTAACCTCTCGCGGATCCTATACACCCTATTATAATGATATACTGTTTGCAATTTCCTCCATCGGTGGTATTCCATGATTGATTTACCAGTAAATGCCTTCAACCAGAGGTTCGTTCAGGTAAACGTGACTCTATTACTGAAATAACTTTTTAGACGAGCCATTTTCCAGCAGGTAACCATTCCAGTTAATATGACTGGAATTTCGTATTACTTCATTTGCCCGTGTCCATTAGGGACAAATCGTTTCTTCCTTGTTCCAATCATTCCCAACAGTGAGTAATTTTCATCGTTCCACGAGGTAAGGGGCTGGGGGGAGGGGGAGGAACAATTTCATCGTGTACAACGGTTACGCCCATCACGATGGCAACAGAATTAATAATCGCGACTTGTGTACGCCGTGCTATTGTTATAGAGAGTGGCGACGTCGGTTGCATGTTCAAGTTGTTTGAAACTATGATGAAGTGAAATCGACTTCGCCTTTAATATTGTTACAACGAACACGAATAAGTTGCACTGTACGCGGAGCGTAAGAAACGACGTAATACTACGACCTTAGCTCATTTGTCAATTCGCAGTGTCAGAAGTGCTTATTGCTACAAACCTTTCTTCACATTTTGTAGTTCGATAGTATATATAGTATACTACATACTAACATCGTCAAATATAGTAACAATGAAAAGTTAAGCTTAGCCTCGATAATTGCCAGTATTCTTAATTTTTCACTTGCAAATTGGAAACTTAATTTCTTAATAATATTCTGATCAAATAGAAACATGTTAGGGCAGAATGGTAAAGACTAGACTATCATTTTCCTACCATTATTGTACTTTCTACAGATATATTACGATGTCATACATTCAAGACAAATAATATAGAATATTTGTATTACATAAAATGTTTATCCATCTCTGTTTAGTTTGTAAAATATATAGAAACATACAGTATAGAAAAATTTTGCCAGCTATCAAAAAATTGATCCCTACAGTGTCGGAAAATGAAATATTGTTGTTAGCAACACTTGCAAAAAGTGCTAATGATGATATATTGTGTTCAGTACTATAAGGATTAAATTAACACGATAATTTTAATTACCTCAATTTTATTTATTCGTATCTAAATAAAACATTTTCGTTTAACGTATACGTATTATGTCCAACTTCTCTGAAAACAGAATAAAGCATGTTGAATAAAGTTGAACATATCTATAACTCTTCTTTTTTCACTAAAACTTCCAGTCCATGAAGAATCGTAGTTTTTACCATATCTCATCCTTAAAGTTCAATCTTACTTAAAAGCAACATACATTTTGAAACAGTGTACTTGCTTCAAATAATTAAACACAAATTCTTTTCTGTTTTCTATTACTATCTTTTCTTACTTTACTTTCGAATTCACAAATATTTCACTTCAATTAAGCTCCCTGGCAAGAAGATATCTTTCGATTAGAAACCTTAAACTTCGCACTACCAGGGGGAACAGTTTATATTCTCCTTTGTACCCTTATTATTAGCCGCATTTTCTGACTAAACAATACATATTAAATTCTGAAAATATTTATTATCATTATTATAATTAGTAGTAGTATGACACTTTCCAGTACATGTTTCGCTTGAGAGTGAAATCGGGTGGGTAGTTCGTGTTTCAAAAAATACCTCGGCATTGTCAGGAGTTTAGGCAAAGTACGTGGAAAGCAAATGTCCAATAAAAGTATTAACTTTTATTAATGAAAGTTACTTATCAATCTTTTAACTTTTAAATTATTTCTTTATATGAGTTTAAGTTTACTCTTTGTGTTATGTTCGATTAAAAAAATATCCTTTGAATAAGTATAAAGCGGAATAAATGTAGCAAGGAAAGCACATTGCGATTTTTATATAATAAAACTTCATCGAACAGTTCAACTTCGGATTCAACTAACTTACAACATTTCTGTTTGTCATAACTTTAACTTTATAAAGCAGAATAAATGTTGCAGTTTAACTAGAAGGTTTTTCTACTTTTAAGAGCGTCTAAGTTTTTAATTTACACAAATATCTGTAATATAGAAGTTTCAGTTAATACACTGAGTTTTATAATAGCCTCCTTGAAACAAGAAAAATATCATCTAATGTATACCTAATTATGTTTAACTATATTTATCTGTAACTAGCTATATTTTCGTATTACGTATTAACCATACACAGGGCGAATTGATTAATCTTATAAAATAAAAAAAAACAGAGAAAAATGAC